GGGGGGGGGGGGTTTAATCGAAAAAAACGCTTTTCTACTATTAACATTGAACGCTCAATGGCGTAAACATGGCGTAAATAGGCACAGTTGTCATTTATTGATAACGCGGTTGTTAGTAAAATATATCGCAGTATTTCAAAAAGTAAAAAAAGGAGAATATTGAGGTACTTTAGTCCAAAAAAACCGAAAATCTTATATCGGAAGTAAAACTGGTGCGCATACTCAAAGTCAGCAGGTCTTGCGGTGAAAATGTGGCCTGTGACGACCTCTCTAGTAGCGTAGTCAACCTATCTCAATGACAAAGTTTGGACAGCAAGAAAATCTGTAGGATGTAAGTCTCTTGTAAAATTGGCTCCATTTTATCAACTCGCGTGCTTCAAGAATTTTTTCTATTATGAAGTTTAGTGGTTTGTATTACCTTGCAAGATATATTGATAGAATCACGTGATATTTTACGGTTCTGTTAGTTGATTCATTAGAGGAAGACAGAATCTAACACATTGAAGCTTACATCCCTACAAATCCCCAGGAAATAGTGTCTCCATCGCTGATCACTAGGATGTAAGGGTGTTCAGTGAATATCTCCATTCTTTTCTGGCAAATACAATCCAGTTCTTAGAAGCGTACTCATAAATGTCTACTTTGAGTGCTTCCAGCTTATATCAGGTACAATTTCCTACATATGCACTTCTAGTTGAGCGGGGTGTGCGATAGACTAACCTCCACGTGGTGCACCCTGGGCAACGTATACTCATACGGCAAAAAGTCTATTAACTGGCAGTTGACTTCTCAGTTCAAACTACCATCACCCCACTGTATGTCATATTCGACCCCTTCCACAGTTCTTATTTTTCCTATTCTCACGCTTTTTATCCGTCTATCCCCTTTAAATCTGTGAATCATAATTCTGTCCTCCCTTTCGTCTTTTTGTCACTTTGATGTTTCTCCTCCTATCTAGGAAGTCCGAAGTCAACTAAAGGGCTAATGCTAACTATCAAAATAAATAAATAAAAAAACTTCTAGGTAGGTGGGGTGAGTGATAGTTGAAGCAATTTTCATAGAAAGAAGGAGACGCCACTTATTCGTGAAAGAGTGTTTCATATTGCTTATGCCATGATATTTCACGGCTGTTAAAACATTTAGAACTCTTTTTTTAAACTCAACCAAAAATTTCTGAACGCTAAAATTTAGAACCTGCAAAATTACTGCTCCATTTTCTCAATGCCCATTTTTTGAGACAAAGTTAGTTACAATTTTGTTCTTTTTTAAAGTAATAACGATTTTTCATTGCAGTAAATTATGACAAAAAAATATTTTCAGTAAATCTTCACATATTTCTAATCTGAAGAAGTAGATTTGATCAAAGTATTATTACTTTAAATGACAGGCTTTATGATATTTATCATTAGCCCATTAAATTGGATAAAATATATACATATATATGGAAGCTGATTATAAATGCACTTGCCAAGCGGGCTTCCACAATTCTCTCCAGTAGAATCACCATTTCTTGAGTCAAGATCGACCAGACCGCTTAATTCGTTGCCTTTCTCCAAGATAATATCCAACGCTGGCCAGTCATGTGAGTAAGAGATGGACATTGGTTCACTGGGTTCATGCATTCCCGGTTGAATTGGAGAAAGATTGAAGGAGGAGCCATTTCGTGAGCAAAAATTATCGTCCGGTATTTCGTCACCGTTCAAATCCACGCAGATATCTGAATTATGGCCAACGCGATTTCGTGGGCGCTTGCATGGAACCTGTTTAACTTTGAAAACAACAGAAAAAATTATTTTGAAGGCGATAGGGAAAATGCCGAAATACTTTAATTAATACACTCAAGTAAAGTATTCAGGAGGAATTAATTATAACTAGCATTTTTAATTTTTTCCTAGCATCGGCGTTGTTTATATTCAATTATTACTGTGTTGAAATCATATTTGCACTGGTGTGTATTGGAAAAAATTTTCACAAACACTACAATACCAAGGCAACAGATTAAAAGAATACTTGCTACATTATTAAAGTTATTTTTTCGCTCGAAAAATATAACTCGATCCATGTGCTATCCATGGTAGATTTCTAAGAGAAGTTGAACTTTATTCCACATGTACGTTCACGCTCCCTACAGTCTCACCATCAAAGGCTCAACAGTTCGAGCATCAAAAGAATTTCAACTTCTGATTTCATAACGAATCGCAGAATGTGACAAGATACTCTTGATATAGTCTAAAATGGTTTAAAGGCAGCCGTAGAACCTGCAAACAATTCCAGCCTTTAAATTCCATTGTAACTTGAACAGTTGTTATTTATTTCCAACACCTTCAAATACCCAACTAGGGGGTGGGATAGGGTGAACTTTGATCAATTACAGGGGGGGGGGGCGATTTATTATGTGCCAATCAAGTTGGAGATGATTGACCAATTTCGCATCTGTTATGCAAATGACCCCATTTAGTCATGGTTGTCCAAGAAGCCATTGGTTGTAGCCTATGTGCCAATTATTGGCAAAGTTGGCAATGCAATTCGATTATGAACAATCATGCATACAGGTGATGCTATTTACTTTCAATCGAAACGCCATTATCATAATGCTCTCTCGAAGAATTCGCTCCACAGTCATACACAACAGTGCACATTTCACCTGCTTCACCGTTCGAAAAAAAAACTAATGGAATGGTAAAGTTTAGAGGACTGATTCGCTTTAAAAAATGCAATATGCAGTGATGAATTACAGCACTCATGGTAGTGAAGAGATTGTTGGTAGACGGGGAAGTACCCCGACTCGCAGAGGCAGATACGCGGTTCTCCACTTCGTGAGGTGCATTTCGCATTTCGTGGTCTGCATATTAAGTCGACAGAATTGCATATCTCACCGACATCCACTAAATAATAAAAAATAAGTGGCATTAAATTACTAATTACGTGTTTTTACAGAAAATAAAGCCCGATGCTTTTAAATTACCAAGAATTGCTCTACAAAACGACCACGGAGAGAGACTGTTGTCATTGGCGGCATATGCCTTTCTTGGCACAGGCATGGCGGTTTTATGCGGACATGAACAACCAAATTTCGGCCTTAAAGGTTAAATAAAATAATAAATAAAAATATTATAAAATGATCAAATTAAATTCTATCCTTATTATGTTGTGAAAAATTGAAATTGAAATGTTTATATCATTTCCTAGGTCAATCAGAACAATTAGTTAGAAATGAATGGAAACGCATAATCAACTTACAATTTAATTCAATTTAATACTCTAACCTAATTTTTTTCATGAAGTTTTTTAAATTTAAAATCATAGTAAGGGGTGTGCGATAGACTTACCTCCACGTGGGGCACCCTGGGCAACATATACTCATACGACAAAAAAGTTTATTAACCGGCATTTGACTTCTGAC